TCATTCAACGCGTTCTGAGATTTGCCTTTTTTTTTTTTTTTTTAATCCATTTCAACCATTCCTTTGGCCCGTGCTGCGCCTTGAAGATCCCATTCCTCTCGGTTTTTTTTTTTTAAAATCAGATCCCTTTGGATGTTTCATTGCATTTTACTTATATGGCGTCATATAATACATTTTACAAAGGATTTGATGGGGATGACGTTTAGAAATCGACGATGCAAAAATTCTTTGTTCAAAGTCCATTGGGCAGGCATAAATTATTCTCACATGAAAATAAAAAAATCATTACTCGTTTTGATCCCAATTTTCATTTGAAAAAAAAAAAAATCCTTTTACCCTCAACCTTTTTTTGATTTAAAATAACACGGGGGAATTCTAATTTTACCTTTCCAACGAATGTCCGAGTTTCTTCAACGAAATTGAGAGTTTTTATTGCAGATCAAAATCAAAAATCCCGAATGATTATCATGAGTGATTAAACGAGGTCGGAAAACCCCCCAATAAAAAATCGTCATTGCATCTTTCTATTATCGGTTAACAAGATTTACGTCCCAATAACATTTAGGTTTAAATGTAATGTAAAAGATTTGATGTTCAACAAAATAAATAATTAATAATTTTTTTAAATTATATCAGATGATATAATTATGACATTAATATTTTATCATAATAGAAACTGAATCATCGTATTATCAAAAAAAAACAACATGAGAAATTATATCACACAATTGTTCCCTATAACTGTATATATTAATGTATATATATTAATTTAAAAGCAAACCAAAACGTGCCAGGGTGGCTTTCATGAATGTTCATAAAACTAATGGTCGCACAACGTTTGGACCTGCTGACTTTGGTTTTGCTGTGAAGTTCACATGTTCCCGAAACTGTTATAATCAATTACAAAAAAAAAAAAAAAAAATTTTTTTTTTTCCTTTTGAACGTTGAAATTCATTATTTATTGTTAAATTCATTGATATTCAGTCTAAACTCATGAAAATCGGTACTTATTGCATGATGTTACGAAAACATTTGCGCCGCTTTCCTTTTTCAATTCAACTCCTCTTCATCAAATTTTTTCATCCATATCAAGTACAAAAATTTTTTTCCTTTTTTTTTTTTTTTTTTCCCTTCCATTCTTTCCTAACGCCCAAAGAGACAATCTTGAGAAAAAAATAAAAAAAAAAATATTTTTTTTTTCTACATATATACAAATAATTGTAAACTTTCATATATTCTTTTTTTTTTTACTGTATTGATACCTTTTTCTTGTTGTATGTACACTTTTCCGTTTGCCACACAAACACTGCACCATATTTTTTTTTTTTTTTTTTCACTCTTAAATAAGTAGTATTTGTGCTCGTGTTCTTTTTATAAACCGAAACTTTTTTTTTTTACTTCAAGGTTCTTTGAACTTATTCTTCCCAGTTTAAAAAAAAAAAAAAAAAAAAACACTTCAAAGAAGAAAAACAGAGAAAAAAAAAATGTACGCACAATCTCACCCTACACTACCTTCAATAACTGCTGCCATCGGCAACGGTGTTGATAAATTTAATTCAAGCTCGCTTGGCAACGGTGAACACCATATTAAACAAGAACAAGATTTTGAACATAATCCCTCCTTACCTCCCATACGAACAAATCCTATTAACCACAGTAACGGTAACATTGATACTAGCAATCACTCTAGGATGTCCATAAATCAGTTATGTAATGATACGGTAGATTTAGATTATCCCGAAGAAATGAAAGCGGCAGCTGCCGTCCTTGAAAACTTGAAAACGACGGCGGTCACTACTTTACCTTCAATTGGTAAGTCGAAATTAAAGATAAATTAAATTATTTAGCTAAAGAGCAATCGACGCATGACACGACTTTCACATTTGTTTGTCGTTACACTCGCTTGCATTAGAACCATTCGAACTAACGTCCCTGATCGAAAATAAATTCTTTCATTTGCTTTATTAGATAATATATCACCGCAACCGCTAGAACCTCGACCGCATGCAGAACAACCACAGCTTCCCAGTTCAGAAGCAGGTTTCATGTTGTCGATTGTGAAGAAAACAATGGATGTCTATGAACAGGGTAAAGCCAACTCCCCTTTCATAAAATATACAACTGAGATGGTTGAGTCGAGTGTATCTAGGTTTTCTAAACCAGTGATTGAACAGCTTGCTATAGTAGATCAATATGCAAGGGGTTTCAAAAACGAGAAAATAATTGATAACGAAGGAACAAAATATGATATTGATAATGATGATGTCTTAGATAATGAATGCCTTAAACGAAGGGTTAGGGGTAGTGAAATTTCTCGTAGTTCATCACCTTCATTTAGAAAACCTCATCGAACTTCACAATCATCAGGTTCTTCAAACAGTACTTCTTATGCCCCATACACTTATCCTAATAATAATTCCACAATATCAGCAACTACGTCGACCTCTTATCCAGAAAGAAGTCGTTGGCAGCGAATGGTTATAGGAACCGGCGCGGCTGTTGGTGCTGCCGGAGCCGCCGTTAGCGAAGAATCTATGAAGAGTCTCAAATATTGTCAAGAATGGATAAACGTAGGTTGAAAATGATGATCGGGGTTAATTCGATATCATGTCACGAGACTAAAATAACTAAATCTTTTTTATAAAAAAATATCAGTACGCTACTCAACACATAGATGCGCAGATCATAGTTTTAAAGGAGTTCATTGTAAACCTTACGAACCCATCCACACGAACGGTTGCTCGTACTTCGTCGACCTCTACCCTTGCCTCGATTAAGAAGGAGGTGGTTGAGACTCTTCGGAAAGTCATTGAAGTAGTATCGAAATATGCTGGAGTGTGCTTACCCGATCAGGCAAAGAGAAGCGTTAGGACCTTCATTTTAAACTTACCCACTCGATGGGCTTCAATAAATCATACAGAACATTCTTCTTCCCCCTCTCCAATGTCATCTCCACAATTGGCTCCTGCCAATGGCCACCCACTAAATCAAACTACGGATTACGCACGCCGCCTCTTGAGTTTAGCCACAGAGTCATTAGATATGTTAATATCTGTATCTGGAATTTTTGGTGAAACTGTCGGACGAGCAGAAGCATGGTTGGAAAGGCTCAGAGCTGTTGGTATGCCAACAAGTATGGGAGCGAATTCGACGGTGAATTTGCAATTTGATAACGTATACGGTTCGTCCAATACATCATCACATTCTTCGCCTCCCGGTTCTCGTTCGAGAAGAACATCCAATTCCGTACGTCCGAATGGCCATGGTGTACGTAAGGTATCCCGTCCAACGCCAGTTCACGTTGAAGACGACGACTCGACCTTTAATGGACATGATTCAGATTCTTCCTCAGAATCTGAGGCTGAACCCATGCGTATGGAAATGGATCACGCTCAAAAGCGCGCTTTAAAGAAAGCAAATGCAAAATCACAATCTAATGGTGCATTGAATGGAATCAAGAAAAGAAAGAAAGGAGGTAAAAAAGAAAACGATAATATAATGGACCTTTCTTAATTATTATCACTCTTGGATGATTGTATTATATATTGTAAAACATAAATCATTTTTTTTTTGTTAGTAAAATTTTATTCCCCCCTAAAAATTTAGAAAAAAAATAATAATTTTCCAGAGACGATGTTTTGCAAATAGAAAAAAAAACCCCCATACGCTTTTATCTTTATATGTTGACGGTAGTGTAAATTCATTCTCTATTTATTAATGACGATTTTAGTGATAAAATAATTATCGAGTTACTGAACATAAGTGATAAGTAGTGGGTATTTTAATTATTATTAGTACAATATTTACTTATTATTATTACTTTAAGCTAGTTGAAATTTATTATTATTATTACATAGTTTAGTATATATTTTTTTTATTTTTTTTTTTTTTTTATACATATCAAACATTTATTTCACATTTTTTGTTTGTTATAAACCTCCAACAAAATTTGAAGGTTCAAAGATCGATCTCGGTTTTGGTTTTGGTTTTTTTTTTTTCTTTTTTTTTTTTTTTTTTTTCCTCTATTTTTTCCGGTATTCAAGGTTGTTAGCAATTTACGATGATTTTTCTTAGCATTAGCTTTTTTTGGGTTTGCCTCTTTCATCAATTTTTCAGCATTCAATATTATTATTACTTTCCTTTTTTTTCCCCCCTCAACTCTCTAATACAAATTAAATTTATTTGGATTGCAAGTTTTCGTTATATATAGCAGGTTTATATATATACAATCTTGAAACCTCTCTCACCTTTCATTTTCATTGCAACAAAAAAAAAAAATTTTTTTTTTTACTGATCAATTTCATTTCTGATGAGTTTTTCCCGTCAATTATTATTGTTATTTTTATTATTTTTTTATTTTTTTTTTTTTTTCCAATTCACGCTCCGTAATTTGTTTTTGTTTTGAATTTAGTAAAAAAAAAAAAAAAAAAAAAGGTAATTATTTATCAATAGTGGGCAAAAAAGAAGAAAAACAAAAGTTAATTCAAAAATGGAAAGTGGAAATTGTTAATATAAAAGATTATATATATACATATAAATATTTACATAAATTTATTTTTGTTTTTTTCTTGTAATTTATTAAATTTATTAATTGTCGAATTTCTTGCATTAAAAATAAAAATCAATTATTTTCAACCAATTAAAAAAAGGTATATAGGATAATTCCTGATTTCATAATTTAAACTCGTTTGTTTGTTTGATCAAACTTTATTTATACTGTATATCAAAATAATAAAACGTTATTATTAACAACGATCATTTCGATCGCATTATTTTATTATGTATTTTAAAGTAAATAACTATACAAACAACGGATTGCGCGCTTCTTTTGAAGAATAAGCATTATGAAGAAAAGAAATTATAATTAACATCTTACGATCAATTGGAACGATCTTCTTTGTCCGAATAATTCTCGAAATGTTCGACAACCGAACTTGCAGTGATATATAACTATTGAAATTCTCTTGATTTTTCGCTTTCATCATCTTTGAAAGAAATGGTCATCCTTTTTTTGCGCGAGAACGTACACGAAAAGGTTCATCATCTGACTCACAAGAAGGATGGTCACCATAATTTTCTTCGCATGATAAAGGAGTTGTTGAGCGACTTTCATTTGAATAATAGGAATTTGGGCTCCTTTTTTCATAATCGTCGCTCGAAAATGACATGCAATAGGATTCATTTGGCTCTTTATCCGACTCGACTGAACTATCATCATTTATTTTCGTGCCGTTCGTGTACGGAGATAATGGAGGTACAGCATCATCGTTGTTAGATGACGGTGAATCTCCGTCATCTTCGGTGTTATATGATTCACTCACTCGATTGACTATCGTCGAGTCTTCACCCGTAATGTCATTGTGACCACTCATCAAATTTTCGGCATCTGAACCATCATCATTAATAAACGAATCGTTGGAATCATACGTATTGGATTCACTATCAACATCCGAATTGTCTCCGTCGTTAGAATCATTGTTATAGTCAGAATCATAGTCGTTACCCTCTATGCCAATGCGCTGACCACAATTACCACAGGTAGGACCCTCCACTATTTACAAAATAAAAGGTTAAATTTTAGTTTGAATTCTTTGGTCAAAAGTGTTGAAATCGAGTTACCTTCCCATCCACAGGTTGGACATCTCAAAACACCATCCTCTTCGTCAAGTAATGGACGAACTGAGTGATCAAATATTCCCGCCCAATGATCAGTTGTTTGTTTATATACATGATCTTCTTTTTGAAGAGTTTCTAGGACACCTTGTTTTTCCTCAGTCGGAAGTTGCTCGACTAACGATTCAACCTGATCTTTCAAAACATATGAAAGAACAGGGTCAGCTGTAACCTCAGCCCGACATGAAGGACATTTGGGAACATTCTCCCTCTTCGTCCCCAGCTAAATTAAAAATAAACAAATTATCTTTAAGAAAAAAAATTTTTTTTCTTTAAGAAAAACAAATAAAATTTAATCAATTACCCATTCCCGTAGACAAGAGTAACAAAAGGAATGACCACAATTAATAGTACAAGGGTTTGCCAGATATCCCGTACAAATAATGCAGGCAAGACCTGTTTATAAACTCAAAGTTAATTTTTTAAGTGACATGAGAATAATCAAGTATTAACTAACCTGACTTGTACCGACTGTTCGTTGCTCTGAGTTTCTTTATTTCTTCCACTTTCTCGGCGAGTTCAGCCTTGAGTTGTTCCAACTGGCTGTCCTTCCACATACACTCTGCCTTTAAACCATCCGTTTGTAACAACAAATTCTTAATTATTTCCTTCGGATCCTCGGCTTCTAAACTTCCTTCTTTAAGGACTTCGTCCTCAGTTGACTTCTTACGTTTGGCTTCAATAAGTGCTGATGTTGAGGCTTTACGTTTTAATCCGGCGGACGTATTTAGTTCTTTACGACTGGAACTCTGGGTGTTGTCTTGAATCGCTTTATCATTATTATGGATCTTTGGTGAACCCGGACGAAGCATTGTTTCCCGCACGTTAGGAGGCTCGATGCTCCTACGTCGTTTTTGTTCATAGCGAATATAAGGTGTACCCTTCCTTTGAAAATTTTCAGACATTTTCTCTTGAAAAAAAATAGGTTGTTTTTAGCTAGTAACGAAAATCTAATCAACAACAAATTTAGAATAATCACATGCTAAGATACAGATTACTGCGATGTTTATTCGAAAATATGAACGCGTTTCACTTTTTTTTATAATATTTTTATTTTTATTTTTTTAAAAGGAAAAAAAGAAATTACAAACTAAAAATAAATTTATAAGCTTAAAATAAATTATAAAAATATGAAAAAAAGAAATATATATATATAAATGTATACAATGTATATTTTTATGCCCTTTTACTATGAAAACAAATGAAATAAATAATGAAATTTTTGAAATTTTACATTTTCCAGCGAAATACTATGCTCATAACGTTCATCTATGTTTATGATGTGATGGAAATTTACGAAGATTTTTATCATTGTGTAATTTATACACCGATTGGCCGAATGCGTAACATACAGCGAATGCCATGCATGCTCCAAGTGGGTAGACCTCAATGGGTATTGTACGAAGGAAGGAACGTGCCCCTCGGGCGGCAATCGGTCCGGCAGTCATCTTCTTATTGAAATTTGGTTTCTTTGAACTTTTCTAGACTGCTGTTACGTGTCTAAAGCGTTTATATGATAATATAGATTCTATTTTTATGTTTATTTTTTTTGAGCTTAATTAAATATTAAACAATTATATCATGAAGTAATGGATCAATTATATTATTAAGTAAATCGGTTACTTTTGAATTCGGTTGAGTGAATCATTAGGACGAAATTTCAGCTATATTTATAACATTTCATTTTCAATAATTCATGTTTATTTCACACCACTTTATCATACGATAATACAAAAGGTGGTTCGATTTCACGAATCATCCGATTTCATAACGTCAAAAAAAAACCACCTTTCCGTGTTGATCTGACGATTATGATAATCATGCATAACAGATTTTTGACGCGATCACAAAATTGTTTTGCTGAATTGAACGGTCCGAAATTTAACCAACTGGTAAATGTCAAAGAATTGGAGTAATGTAAGAAATATTTTAGTTTGAACGTGCTTTAAATAAAACAAAAAAAAAATTAAAATTTGATTTCCTAAACCTTTAGGAAAGGAAAACAAAATTATTGGAATTCTTTAATTGCATTTATTCGAGAATTCAAATTTTCTTATACATTAGAAATCATAAATTCGTGAATACCAATTACTAATTATATACGGTATTATGAAACATAGTATAAAAATTTTTCCGTTTTCAGATTGACTTAGTAAATGCGAGTCAATAAAATCTCTATTTTTTTTAACCTAACCCCAAGTTTTATTATTTTATACCCTTGGATATTATTTAATGAAATTTTGAACTAAACTCTTTGTGAAGCGATTATAACATCAATTCAATTTTTTAAGGTTTTTATGAAATCTATTATTTATTATATTTTACTTTATATATGAAATTTCTTTTTTTTCAAAAAAAGTTATTATTTACTTTATAATATATTTAACGTTAGAACTTATAAATTTTTATTTAATGTTAATATCATTTTATATTATTATAATACCATTATAATGTTTAGATCAATATCATAGATAATGTTATAATATTTACATTTTATTTATTTATTTATTTATTTTTTTTTTTATATAATTAATAATAATATAATAATACCAATATTTTGTATTTATTAAATATTTAAAATAGATTAATTATTAAAAATAAATTTATAATATTATTATATATCGGTTATTTAGATTTAATTTATAGATTTTGTGTATTTAATTTTAATATTAACTATTAAATAGCTATATATTTTTAATATACAGTATACAGTTTTTTTAATTAAATAAAACTAATAAATATTTAATTTGTAATATATCAGTAAATAATATATAAAATATACATTATAGGTAATTATCATAAAATATGATCAAAAGTCAGAGGTTTTTTTTTTTTTGTATTTAATTAAAATGTAACATTATCATCTAATAAAATTTATATTAATAAAAATATAATGTTTATATAAGAGCATTTGTAAATTCAAAAGGAAACTTTATAATTCAATTTTAACTAATATATTATAAAACTTTATTTATTAAAATATTTTTTTATTTTAAAATTAACAAATATTAAAATAATAATAACAAATGATCAGATGTTTTAATCATTTTAAAATAATTTCTGAATAAGATTATTAGATAAAACCTAGAGATTTTGCAAGTCAACTAAATGGAAAAAGATAAAATTTAGTAAAATTATATTAAAACTTTATTAAAAATTCTGAAAAAGATAAAGCTTATAAAAATGCGAAACTATAAGTAAAAATTAGCAAAAACTAAAAGTTAAACTATTTTATCAAATTCAAAATAAGTTTAAACAAGTAACACTAATAAATTTATTAAAATGATCAAAAAAGATTTGAATATTAGAATTATGACAAAGAAGGATATATGATCAAAGATTACCAATTAAAAATTAAAACTAAAGTGTAATTATAAACTCAAATATAATTTCAACCTAAATTTTAATCAGATAATAATTGAAATAATAATAGATCTTAATAAAGAAATATCAATTTAGTAGAAATAGAAGAAGTTGAAATTGAACAAGAAACTTATATGATTATTTAATCTATTCTATTATGAATTACTTAAATTGTATTACTACAATCAAAATCTAATTGAAAATAATAAAGTAAATCTCTATCTTAATCTCTAAAATATCTAATTTACACCTGTAATACTTTACTATAAATGTTCTTATAAAATGATTAAAGACCTTAAAAATTCTGATGTTAATGTTATCTTCAGATAACTATTAAGAAATTCTTCTTATTTTCAAAAATTAAAGAATAAAATTAAAAAGATCAAAAATTACATAAACTCATATTATTAAAAATAATAAATACATATCACTACTAGTTGTATTATAAGGTATAAATTGAATCTGATCAAAACTATTTTAGATTTAAGCATAGCTATATATATAATTTCAATCATTTTATAAAAAAATGCAAAAGATTTTAAAAATTATAATTTTTATCCTTCTAATTTTATAAGAAGTAAAATTTTTAGTTAACTTATAAATAATCAAATTAATCTAAAATACTTTATTATTAAAGATAAAGTAATTCAAAGTATTTGACGTAAAAATGTATTTTGATCATAACAAATTACAAATTAAAATTCATAGCCAATTAATCGAATTCTAATAAATATATTGAAGAAACTAAATTATATTTCAGAATTTTAACAAAAGTGAAGAAGAGGAATATGTAGATAAAACTTTATATAAAACAAATCTTTTTAAATTGAAAATGATGATAATTTTTTTTTAGATATTAATGAAAGAATAATAAATAAAATATATTAAATGATTCTATTAAAAAGAAGAAATTATTACTCTTTATAGTATAAATAATGAAGAAAAAATAGAAAAACAAAAAATAATTAAAGCCTTTATAATAAAAAAATTATCTTAATAAAAAGAATTGATATTATATAACTGCTTTATCAAATCTTCTTAAAATCTAATATATAATCTATTATTTATTTATCCTATAAATTAAACTAGAAAAAAAGATTTTCTGAAGATAAGATGTAAAAAAAAATAATCTAATTCTTAGAAAATCCATGAGCTTTATTGTATTTAAAAAGACTAAAGATCTTAAGAAAATGTATTTATTATTACTTATTAAATTTAATCATAGTTATAGATAAATATCTATACTAAATATATATAATCAATTAGAAAATTTTAGAACTACTAAATATTTTACTGTATTAAATTTAATAGGCAGATATTAGTAATAAAAATGCATTTAAAAGATCAAATAAAAATAGTTTTTATCACATCTTTAAGATTATAAATTTAAAATGATATTTTTTTATTTAAAAAAGCATTTGCTATTTTTTAATAATTAATAAATAAAATTTTATATTAATTAATTAGAAATTCTGTATAATATACTTAAATAATATTATTAGCTATTCAACTACTTTCTAAGATTATTGTAATCACATATAATAAATCTTTATTAAATTAAAAAAAGTAAGTTTAAAAATAAATCTAAAAAATATAAATTTGTAATAAATGAAGTTAGCTATCTAAATCATATTGTAAAAGTAATAGAATCAAATCTGATTAAAGGAAAATTTAAACTATGATTGATTCACTTATTCTAAAAATCTAAAAAAAAGTGAGAATAGCATTAGAACTTGTTTTTTACTATTAATAATTTTACAAAGATTGCAAAACTTTTTCACAACTTAATGAAAAAAATATTCTTTAAGATTAGATAATATATTACTAAGATTTATTTGATAACTTAAAATTTAAAATTATTACAGTCTCAATATTTATTCAACTAGACCTAAATAAACATTCATTATTTAAATAGATAATTCAGATGAAAGATTAGAAGTGATACTTACTTAATAAGATAATCAAAGTCTAGAATATCTAATAGCTTATATAAGTAGAAAATTATCAAATCTCAAATTAAAGTATATAACTATAAAAAAAAATTTCCTTAAAATTTAATAGATTATTGAATATTTTAACTATTACCTTTATTAATAATTATTCAAAGTAATAAATAATCATTCTACATTAAATTAGTTACTAATTATAAAATATGTAAAAAAAAATGAATAACTAGATAGACTCTATTTTTGAAAGCATATGATTTTACTATTAAATATTGCTTAGTAAATAAAAATTAAATAAAGACACTTTTTCTCAAATAATTTCAATTCATATATCTTAATAGAAAAGGAGAAAACTTTTAAATTTTAATAGATTTAGGTACACTTTTCAATTTCAAATATATCAGAATATCAAATTAAATGATAATAGATTTGATTAGCTAATAACTGATGTTATCAAAAAATATCTATTCCTATAATGAAATAAATTATTACTCATATTTATATTACAAAATATGTTTCTACTACAAATCTTAATAGATATTATATTTTGTTATTAAATGATACTTTTCAATGTAAATGTTATGAAAATTATGATGAATTTTAGAAATATATTAATAAAGAATATTATCAATAAAATAAGTCAATTAAAAAAATGTATATCTTTAGAAAATAATAGTGATTCTGAATATTACTTAAGCCAAAAAATCTTAAATCTGTGTTCAATAAAAAAGAAAAGATTGGAAACAAGATATATATAATATCTATCTTCAAGTTGTAAAATTCAATTAATAACTACCAAATAGATATAAGATCGTTCATTAGTTAAAATTAGACAGAATTATTCTATTAATTATACTCTTTATTATAAAGTTATTACTATAAACCTAGAACATGAATATATTGTTAGATACAATTTTAACTAATTTTATTTAAACATAATTTCTGAAGCATTGATGAATAAAATCTTTTGAAATATTTTAGAAGAAATATAATATAATAAAGCTTATTAAATTATAGTAGACTTATTATAATATCTTATAATCCTTATATAATAAATAAATAGACTAAAAAAAATTAAAAAATTGTTTAAATTTATATAATCCTATTATTATTTAATTATTTTGTTAAATTTTAATGAAATTCATAAATGTGTATCGATTCTAAAATTAGATATTTAATATTACTTAGTTTTATTAATTTTATAAATATTATAGTTATTAATTATTTTTTACTATTTTATTATTTTAAAAAAGTTAGCATTTAGTTAAATAGCACTTAGTAAGTAAAGTCTTAAGTTTATTGTAATTAAATTGTAAGTAGCATAACTTATAACTCAATTATTACTATAAAAATACAATAATATTTTGAACTTCAATAGTATTTAAATTATAATAAATTTCCTAATCATATTTAATCAAATAGAGAGAAGAAAAAGTTTACAAATATGGTTAAATACTTTACAATTTAAATATAAATCTATATCGATTTAATCAAAGAAGGTCTAAACATTTATTATAAATTCTTAAATAATACAAATTAGAACTTATCTTATATATAATATACAATGATTCTATAGATGGACGAGAAATTACATTTAACAAAATCAAAACTCAATATTATTAGTTATAAATATATGAAAATATCAAAGAATATGTAAAATATGTGATTCTTGTCAATAAAGAGGAAAACTAAGTAAATTCATATGGGATGACAAATATTTTTGCGAGTCACGTAATCGAACCCGGCTTTAGCCACCCCCTCTTTTAGAAAAAATAGCGCGTAATTATAAATGGTTGCCAATTTGATATTATAAATTTTACGGGTCTCTTCCGTAATGCCGGCCAAAAGTTACGTGGATACTGGGGTAAATGGCAATTTGTCCAAAATCACGTGATTAGAAATCGGATCACATTTTAATACGCGTTTAACACGTTTAACACGCGTTTAATAAAATACCATAGTACTTTTATTTAATAGTTAGGGTTAGGGTTAGGTGTTGGTGTTAGGTGGTTTGTCACCGGTATAAAAACAAATTTTGGACTGACTGGACTGGTAGGACCGAATGTTTTTCGCAAAATTTCATTATATTTTTGGACCTACTTTTTCTTTTTTCCTTTTATCCGTTTTTTTTGTCGACTTTATTAATAAAAATTTGTGGTGAGAAAACATTCCCAGTAAGACAATACAACACCTTCTCCTGGAAGCTTCTAAAAGATTAGGCAAAAACCTAGCTTCTTTTAGAAACTTCTTCTAACAAAGGATTAGGCAAACGATTAGCTTCTTTCAGGTATGCTGAGCTTTCAGAGATTAGAAAATAACCGAGGACATTGAAAAAGTCTTACCTCAAAGGACTTTAATGCTTTACTCTGTAGCACTCACACTGGGTTTCTTTTAAACTGCAATTTTCTGAAATTGCCGTTTTATATTCCATGTCGTGAAGGACAAAAGCGTTCAAAAAGGTCGGTCTTTTATCTTTGGATTGGACCGGTCCATAAATCAGTCCAAGGACCAATGCGAAGTCCGATCCAAATCAAGCATCGATACTGATAATGTCATACCTCTCAAAGATAGTGATCTTTACGGACTCATCGATGTAATTAATAACAATATCCATAATGCTCTATATGAAAAGTTGTCTCAAAGGAACACTATAAATTTCTAGTTTTTGGGGTAACGGCTGGTATAGGTAAGTGAAAAAATAAAAGTTTATTTATGAAATAATACAGTATATGGTTAGAAGGAACAAGTATAAAAATTTTGTAATATATAACTCATGCAAACGTGATAAAAACATGAATTTAGCTTATACTACGTTACCTTCTTATTGATTATATTCCAGGTAAGACGCGATTGGGACGAGAAGGTTTTAACATTTTGCGACATCTCTGGACACCACCAACTGAATGGACAAGAAATGGGTTTCAAGTTCACCTTGAGTACTTGCAGTATCGACATAATATTAGATGGATGAGAACGATTATTGGAATACGTTTTGTTTACGAATTTTTTGTTAAAGGGAAATATAACAAGATCTAGAATTGCAGAGATAGTTTGGTCGACAGATATTTCAAAGCTATCACGCGATAACTCTGTTCCTGCATCTATTCGGATATTTACATCTGAGTTATTAGCGTACCAATTCGTAAGTATTGAATCATTCGATACATCCTTATGAGAAAACATGCAGTTTCGCGAGTTTCGCCGGGAGATTCTCATTTATAGAGAATTTTAATATTGATTTTGTAATTACTAATATTCGAAATTCTTTGCCTTATAGGTGGTCAGTGCCTTTTTTTGTTTATTCATATTGATGAATTCAGAGAATTATCAATTTTGATGGTTGGGATGCAATACAGAAAAACCGACTAAAGGGCTATTCAGATGTTTGATGTATATGAACTTGGGCACTATAAGACACATCAGACTTCACAGTTTATCTTTGTGCAAACATTCCTTTCGGGAACAGCGCCACATATTGTAATACGAGCAAAAGAACCCACATCATATTCTTGGTCTTTTGCCGAATACCCACTGCTGTCAATGGCTGCACGCAGGGTTGGGATTAGTACAGCAATTAATACAAATAGTACAGTTAGTACAGTTAGTACAATATAATAATTAATATAAAATTAGTACAATTACAGTACAAGTACAGTGTTGTCAGATATTGGCAGTCTTCCGCGTGCGCTGGAATACCTTTTTGAGCATTTTTTTGGGGTATTTCATGAAAGATACAATGAATTTAGTTGAGATCGATAAGCACAAACCAAACAACTTCTTCAATGGAGTTGCAGGAGATCTCGACAAACGGTATGCTCAGAACATTTGCCGAGGAATTTCGTGAATGAGAATAATAAGGTTTGTAAATTTAATTTTTTTATAATGGTTGAAATTAATTGTTCTTATGTTGTTTTGTTATATTTCATTAGGAATTTCAACAGAATTCTCAGGAAGAAATTGCAAGACTTATATTATTTGCTGTAAAACAACAGAATATGAATTTATTAAATGAGACATTTTCGGATTATTAGACAAATGTGCCACTTGGAATCCTACAATAGGTGCGAGTAAAATGAATGAAGGAACATTTATATTGTGGATAATATTGGGCCACTGTTTAATACTATCCATTTCTATAACCATGTCACAATTCATTCATGGTAAGATATTATTTTGTATATCTTGGTTTGATTTTTGGAAAAAAAGACTGATATTTGATTTTTTTTTTTCCTATAGGATCGATACCAGTGTCAGAAGCATCTAAATCACACTGAGGTCGTGGTAGAGTGCCTGACTATATGTTGAAAAATGTTGATTAGACCTGTGTAGTGTTTTCGGCGAAGTAACGAGCCCCATGAGAAATGTAAAGTTTTTTAGGAACATGCACGTAAACAAGTTCACCTACTCTAACCAATAAACGGAGCTGTAAAGGGGTCAATTAACGGAACAATGAATGTGGGAAAGATTGGAACTATTAGCGATCAAGAAATTTCACCACTCAGGTCACCGAGGAAATTAAAAAAGTGAATTATGATGAAAAGCCAAATAGTGATGAAAGTCTGTGTCATGACATTATTTTATCCCGGAATATATTTACTTGTTGAGGTAGAATCGTGCAAAATACCAAAAAATGTTAGAGATCTGGCATCAATCATAAAGCTTCATCAAGTATTGATGAGTATTCGGGTTAGTTTTTTATTTTGATATTTTGATAATTACGTGTTGTTTGTTACAATACTTTAATAGCCTTCAAATCTCCTACGAAATTGTCTTAACATTTTTTTTGCCTTTTTTTGCTTGAAAAATATCCAGGTGTTACTTCTTAATAAAAATCACTGCAGTTACAGATCAATGTATGTTAACTGGAGTGGAGAATGCGATAGATTTGCTAGGTGAGAAATCTCGCTTGACACAAACCATTCATACTGGTTGCGTCCAATTGCAAAACACCAAGCGCATTTATTTGTCACATGAAAAAGTAATTTTCTGCCTATGCTTTTTATTAGAAAAAAATAACATTATATTATATTATATTTATGTAAAACTTAACTTATATTAAATAAAAGCTTTAAGCTATATGGGTTGATTGCTAGGAAAATCAGGTTCCAGGAATTTTTTAACAAAATTGAGATTTTTATTACATATTGGTTTTGGATGTTATTAGATTAAAATGCATTAGTCAAAAATTTCTCAGAATCTGATTTTTCTAGAAATCCTTTATATGCATTATTTTTATGAATAGCAGGTCAATATAGGTTAAGAAAAACTAAAATTAATTGAGAGTATCATATTATACATTCTTAGCCATAATTATTTTTCTATACAAAAAAAAATATAAAAGAATAATTAGATGAATTTTTGATTTCTTTTTTTTTTTAGAAATGGTTTTTATTTATTTAAATCATATAATTATAAAAAATCATTCTAACAAAAATAAAAGGTGATAAATAAATATTTTTTTTTAAATTATTTTTTCATTAATTAATTATTATTATATTTATTTGCAAAATTAATTATAAGATATATTATTAGTCTAGAACAAAGTAAAGAATTATATAATACTATAAAGTGATATAAGATATCCTGATATTTGTCTGCTCAATAATTGAATTAATACTGATTGGTTTTGTAATTACATAAAAGTCTAAATAAAGATTGTTTCAGACTTAATAATGATTTCCTGTTTTCTAGTATATTCAGTTAGTAAAAAATTCTCTTTGATTATATAAGATTTTTATATAAGACTTTATATCTAAATATGATTTTAATATTTATACCAAAAAAATATAAGCTTAATAAAAAATTCTCTTTATAATATTATATTAGAAATAAGAAACAATTTAATTAAAATATTTTTATTATTTAATCAAAATAATTTAATTATAAGTTTATTATGATTTTTTAATATTTAAATAATAATAGTAAATATTAGAAATTTGATTAAATAAATTAAGAAACCTTTTTATTAGTTCTATTTTAATATTTGTAATAAATTTTATTATGAGATTAATTTAAAGTATGATCTAGTGCAAAAAGTTTAATATATTAATATATTTATAGTAAAAAAATAAATTTTTAAATTTAATATAAATATTTAAATATTTTTATTTATTACATAGATTTTAAGAAATATTTAATGTAAATTTATTAAATATAAAATTTCTATAAAAAATTTTATTAATCGTCAATTTCCTTAATTTTAAAATCTTTATAATCACTTTTAACCAATAATATTTTATCACTTAATTTTTTATATACTTTTTTTCAAATTTAATAATAACTTTAGTAATAATCTTTTTATTAAAGGCATGTAACAATTTATATCTAATAACTAAAAGATTTGAGTAAAGATTAGACTTGATAACTGCACCTTTAATAGTTGATTAAATTTCTTCAATTAGTTAGAATTCACAATGATAAAATGAGGTATAAAATAAATTATGATTATATTTTCTAATAATATTAACACATATAAAAGATAATTTTACTTTATTTATTTTACTAATTCATATATTTCTGCTTTACTAGAATTTTCTGAAATATCAACACCAGCTGAATTTAACCAAGTAATTAATACATTCTTTTTTGAGTTTGATATTAACACAATTTGTAATAATGAGTATTATCTATATAAATATTCACTGACACATAGCATTTTTTAATTAACACAAAATTTATCAAAAAGATTTTCAAAAATTTTAGTTATAAAATTATCATAATAGTTAACATAGTCTGCTATAATATTAAAATTTTAAATAACTTTAGAAATGTTATTCTAGACATAAACATTTGCTTATTTTCTCCCTTTTGATGAAGGTGATTTTATCAATAGATTTCATATAAGAAGAAAATTAGAAATAACATCATTATAAAGCTTATTAGTATCATCATTACGTATTATATTATTACTTTAAAAATAATAATTAAGGGGTCACGCCCTGGTGAATATACTACCCATAATTTAGTACTTAAATACAGTTCGTAGTATAGTCAACTCTTATTATAATGAACTCTATGTCCTAAACTTCAACTTCTCTATAAAGCTATAATAAAGATTTTAAAAGATTTAATTGGCTAATTCATTATAATAAGAGTATTTTTATTATATTTGTTTAAAAAATTCGTTATATCAAGAGTTTACTATATCAAGAATTGACTATATAGTACAAATAATAATACAATTTGTCTAAAAAATCTTTTGTTTAGTTAAAACTTTGTTTTTTCTTATAAGTTTGTAAAATGGTATCATAAATAATGATTATAAAAGGTAATATTTATTAGTGATTCATACAATATATTTTGATGTTTACTATAATCATAATAAAATTCAATTTATGAAATAATGAAGCAACTGCTATTTTAATAATTTATGGTCATTTTCTTTAAACTTTTGTCATAATATTTGTGTTAAAAGTGAAGTACTAAAAATAATTAAACTTATTTTTTAGCTGATTCATAGTTTTTTTGTGTTTGAAATTCTTCACTTTTTTATTTTGCTTAACAATCACACATATAACTATAGATTTCTCAATATCAAGAACTATAGTAACCTTCTTGTGTAATAATACATCATGATATTATTTTTAGCTTCATTAAATATTTAAAAAGTATTGATAGATATTAAAAACTATTGTTAACGTGCAATCCTTGCGAATTACGACAGTTAGACGGGGTGTTCGAGTGGTGATTCTTTTAAAGTTTACGTAGTAATCTAATAGTTGTCTCAGTAAGATAATGGTTCTTTTATATACTATAGAGTATATTCACACTGCGGTTGGTTAGGTTCTTTTATATATTGAGAAATATATTCACACCTCAGTTGGTTAGATTTTGTTGTATATTGAAAA